CCCCTAGAATCCACATATCCGTTTCAAACTTTCAGGACCAAACCCTCAGTTCGTTTAGGTAGATTGTGGAATATTAATTTTAGAGAAAATGGTCTGAACGGTTTAGGCACTAACGTTGACCACACACAAACAGTTTTGCCGTCAATCGATTTTTCGGTTTCATGAACCCACAAAACATGGTTTCTTGTTAAATAAAACTTCTTACCTAATTCTGGCCTAATTGAAATGCCGGCGTGGCTGTGTTGAATTGCGCATCTGTCTGTGCTTCAACGAGTGCGAGGAACAGTAGCAGCGGAGGCGGCGGGCGACAGGGCTTGGGCGCGGGCGTTCGATTGGGGGGCCGGGCCGCCCCAGCGCGGTGCTATCTCCCCGTAGCCAAGTGGCATTAGCTCACATGACTGGTCCCCGCGGAGCAACGCACGAGATCTAAGCGCCTTACGAAAGAAGACTCGACCACCGGCGCTCCTGTCTGACCATTTCGGCTGTCGTTTGGCAGTTGGTGACCGGACTTGTAATCAAATAGTTCATGTCATAGTTTACGTCTGTTATATTGATGTAATATATTAACAGCACATACTTTCTAGCAATGTTTGTAACGGCTACGTAATATTATACTATTACTTGAACCTGTAAAAGTGTTTCAAAGAAGCTCAATTAAAGTCATCGTGCGAAATTCGAACTCTGACCCATGAAGTAAATTCGTCATGCGTTTAATCAGCTCTACGCATTTTAGCCGACAGTTAAAAACTCATGATCTCTCCCATTATTCCTAACTTAAAACAGTTTTCAAAAATATATAGTTCGCCAAAATCGGGAATATTTTTTACCGTTCTTTGATGCATACGAGACAAAAAATTAAACGAAAAATGTGTACTCAATTATGTGATAACTCCTAATATTTTCTAAAAATTGTTGAAAACGTTATTTTAAGATGTATTTGAACAACAGATTTTTTATTTTTAAAATCTCTATTTTCGATTTGATGGTTCTAGGAAGATACCGAAAAACTTTTGAACTTTTGCAATTTTTGAAAAATCAGATATTACAACACCAATTTTAGCGCCTTTATTTTAAGCGTTCTTTACGCTATTGGATGACCAAGTTTAATCCAAATGTTTTTGAGAAAATGAAAAATGATATTGAGCTTCATGTAAAATACCCAAAAATTCAAAATATCCGTTCCAAATTCGCAGGGCCTCGAGTTCCTTCAGAGCGATCAATCTATTACTGTCTCCCTAGGGAGTAAAGAGTAATTTATGTAATGCTGTGCGAAAAAACGGCGAATTTTCGGCAGAAAAACTCTTGTTACATGTAACAGTGGACAAATCCAGTTGCTAAATTTAGAAAAAATACTCTAACACGTGGTGTAGTCAGAATCCATGTTTTGTGGGTTCTTGATACTGAAAAATAGAATGACGGCAAAACGTCTGTCTGTTCATCTGCCTGACTGTCCGTCTGTCTACCAGACTGTCCGCGTGTCTGACTGTCTCTCTGTCTGTCTGCCTGTCTGTCCATCTGTGCAAAACCCTAGCGGCTAAATCTTTCACGCTATTTTCTCCAAAATTGATATTCTCCAATTGATCTGGCTGATGTCGCAGCTCCTTGAATTTGGAATCGAAATTTCAATTTTGAGGGGTACTTTAGATGAAGCCCCTGGGACATTTTCAAAATACAAAACGGCCCCGTAGTTTTTGATTTGATTTTGTCGTTGGATAGATTAAAGGGCGTGTAAGTGAAAGGTATTTTTTGTTCATTGAAAACATTGATTTTTCGAAAATTGCAAAAGTTCAAAATTTATTTGGAGTCTTCCTATAACTAAAATTAAAGATAGATATTTTTTCAGTTCCTAGATTTTTAAACAAGGTCATCAGGTTCGCCTCGTCGCTCGCTGACAGCACACGGCATTCGCATGTTCTCTGGTATTATTGCCTGACATTGCAGCTTAGAACCTGTTAAAAAAGTCAGAAAATGAAAGTCTTCATGGAGTAGATATGCGATTTATTGCAAATGATGAAAGGAAAGCATGAAAGGAAGCATGGAAGTAAAAAGGAACAGGAGGGAGGTAGATGCAAAAGAGGGAGAACGCAGGTGTTTTATTTCTAGAAACTGATGCTGCCAAATGCACCCACTGCTCTTTCTCTGGCGTGTGGAAGCAAAGAGCGCCCCTGTTCTCGCGCCTTCCGACATCGACACGCACTCCCCGCACCGGATCCAGAGCGTGGAAGGCCCGGCAGCCCTCGCACCCCCGATTCGTGTTAGGCCTCGCGTAATGTACCCGAGTGCAGAAGGCATAGAAGAGATAATGGAATGCAGTAAATCGAAGGTATTGTCTAAATACTTGCTTCTCAGTAGATTTTCTTCACAGCTGGAGCGAAATATTAAAATTATAGAACTTTGACTCTATTTTTCAGCAATAGATCTTATTTTTATATGAATGCTTACAAAAATGAAAACTGAACACCTGGTGGTGCTTCGTGACTACTCTAAAAATTATTTATTTATAATTCCAACTTCTCTAGAAGTATTACTTTGGATTAATAAACAGTTCACATTTCACCCTTTGTTGTTTATTTTAAAGAAGTGGTAGGACTCAAGAATGTGGTAAATTTTTTTTGAAACTGCAACACCAAGAATATCCACCTCTTTCCGTCAGATCTAATTAACCTTCTGAGAAAAGAATTTAAAAGTATAAAAAATAATTTATTTTATATCTTACTGATACGTTATAGCTTGTTATTGCTATACGTACCGTGCATAATTTCCCTGGATCGAAATGATCTTGGTTACGAGGGTAATATAAAAACGGTTGAATGATGACACATGTTCTATTATGGAGAGAATTATGAGAGGGAATTATGAAAAATAAACCGAGTTAAGTTAACATTTAGTTAATTAGTAAATATGTAAATGTGAATAAAAAATAAGTAAAAAATAAAATGATGGGAGTTCGGGCGAAGGGCCCTCGGGCAATTTATCGCCGCTCGATCATTAGATCCATATAACACCCTTCGTACGAAAAAAAAATATTTCAAATGAAGCCAGTGCTCAGTATAATAACAGGAAAAACGTTTCCAGTTAATGTCCTCAAAATTCCGAGTTCGTAATTGCTGAATGTCAATTTGATGCAACATCGCATGATAAACGACCATGCCACGGCATTGGAGGAACCACAATGAAACTTGACCAGAGCAAGCTTTTGGTGTGAAGAAGATCCAATCAACATACCCATAATGCTATTTGATGGGGCTCAGAAAAACAAATAATGTTACTTTTCGGTTTTATTCACGTAAACACGAAATATATAAACAAAAATATGTAAAATCGATTTATAAAAAAACAAGTCCAAAAGGTTAAATTTGCACCCGAAGATAATCCTCCGTCAAAAAGTAAGACACTGTAAGACACTATCCTTTGGCGAATCAGTAAAAAACGGTGAATATTTAATTTATAGTAAATTAATGTGAACAGTTACTGAGGATATAAAATAATTATATTAGGAACTTTTGTTTTTGATGTTGGCAAATGAACTCCGTCTCCTTGCAATCGCAGTCAATGATTGCGAGAGCAGCGGCGGGAAATTGTGACGAATACATGTCCTGGTACATTCATAATTTAATTGCTACCAACATACGGAAGCTTCCACTTACATTTTCTGCAGAAAAATTAAAAAGAAAGTATAAGGAGTTTGACAATACTTCTTAGAATATTTGAGATTCGTGCTAATTGTAATAATTATCATTTTATTTAATAACAGGTGTGTAGTTTTACATTGTCAAACAATATTTTTGTATGATAAAGTATTTAGCTTTTAATTAAAGCCAACAACATTTTTCTCTACTAGAAGCCAATATATGAAAATTGACATTACTTTCAATACACCATTTTCGGTGCATAATTAGTGGTTAATATTTTCAAAACTACTGATTAAGTCAACACAAAAAAAATTACTTCTCATTCTTTTGATCCAGTATCATGAGAAAAAATGGAACAAAATCGGACACATCTAGTAAAAGTTTTTAGAAAATCCGTTCGGTTTGATGCGTAATCCAGATATCCCCACCACTGAGGCACCCCACCCCCAATTGGTACAAGCTCTAAGCTCCTGATATGTGCGATAGCGTAGTTCTTGTAGGGGTAAGTGTTTGTAAGTAAGGAGGTGGGACAAGGAAGAGGAAGGAGATATCGCGGACGGTCCCTTTTGTGAAGGTGCTGCTCCGGTATCCGCCTAGAAACCACGGAAAACTACCAATCAGAGCAGCTGGCTGTTAGAATTCTCCTCCAGACAGCGACTGAATTCGGTCCAGCTCTATAGGTAGTGGCCGTCCCCGTTGAGACTCACTTTATGTCTTCGCGGTCAGAACCGTTGCAACGACAGAGGCAATGCTGGCTCTGAGCTAAACCCAGTCAATGGACTTTTTCATTCACGTGCAGGTCTTGTCCCTCGAGTCCTAAGCAAATCCCCTCATTGATTACCGGCGACCAAAATAAGGGGCTTGCCATAATGAACAGCAAGTTTCAAAACACGAAAAAATCCTCCCTGGATTACTATATGTCAGTCTCACCCACCCACAGAAAGTTGTATGTTCAACCAGGGAAAATTTGCCACTTTGTACACTTGGAGCATCGGTTAGGACGGTAATCATCATTCGTGAAATACGACAACTGAAAATGAGTTAACTGACAAGAGTTCAGAAGAAAACCAAGTGGTCAATATTCTACCTTAAAACGCGAAAAATGTAACAAAAGCATTCGCCCTACCTTGGAAATGTAACCGATAATCAAAAATGATGAAAAATAGTCTAGTATCGTTTCCCCATGGCGCTTTTGAACAATTCCATGTGGGCAGGGCCATCATCTACAAAGTTACTTAACTCAATAGAATCAGCACCTGATATCCTTAAATTCTTGCACGTGGCTATGTTTAGAGATACATTTATCGTCATTAGAGCACCCGGTAAACTATCTTGATTGTATGGCACTGGATCAATTCAGGAACTTACCCCAGGCATGATGCATCGTTCCACATCGTTCATAATGCTATCCCACGACTCAGGCTCTTCCGGTGCTGAATCAGGTAGCAAAGCACGCAAGTATCCGGGGGCTACAGCCGGGTACACACGCCGCTGCCGAATGTTTTCCAGGTAGTCGGCGATATAGTCTACCATCTCCTTGCCTATGCATAATTATGAACAGTACGTAAGATTTTGCATGAAATTGTTCGATATATGTTCGATATGAAGATTTTGCAAATTTTCATATCGAACATAAATCACACACAAGCCCTTGGTTAGAGATACGTTTCATAACATTTTCAATGGAATTACCTAAAATGTCTGATGAAACAAGTTAACAATGGAATTCTATTTGTATACATTTTATTTTCTTATTTTCTCGCAAATATAATACACAGAAAGGAGCTAGAATAGTACAGTGACGCTAAATTATACCTTAAGTCTGAATCTAGAGAAACAAATCTAACTTTGCACTAGTATCAACGACAAAGTCTCCACAATTAAGCTACGACCCATCGCACATAGGCCATACTGCGTCACTTAGTGGAGGAGGAGGGTAATGCTCGCCCCCACAAACGTCTACCACTATTCAACTATGCAGCACAGACACCATGTTCCACCCATGTCAGGTGAAACCGCAAAGGCCGCACTGAAAGGGCAGAGCGAGGTGGAAACCCTACCCCAAAACTCTGGGTAAGTGGGTAAGGGCCGACGTCTCTCACTGCCGGTTTCACCAACAGCCGAGGAAAGTTAAGAGTAGTTACTCGAGAGTAAGCGTTACTCTACGATAGTTACTCTCGAGCAGAATATAAGCGTTTTACCACGCTTCTGGAGGGTTATTTTAGCCTAGAGTACGTACTTTCCGCTTTTCTCCGCGAACCAGCTATACGAACAATTTTTCATATACAGCAGTGAGCAATTCAATAGGCTGAGAGCAAGAGTGGCGCTGTAAAGCATTGCGGACCAACGGGAACCTCTGGCTATTTCTTTTCATTTCTGTTTTGGGGGTCTTGGCGGCGCAATTGAAATGCCTAAAACGTGGTTAAAATTCAATATCTCGTGCAAAATGCGAAATAATAGCTATATTGGGGATTATGTGGGGTTTTTTACCTCACTGAATACGAATATGATATCAAAAAATGAAAAATTGAAATTGGCAGATTCAATATGGCGGATGGCATTTGAAACACGGAGAAGAATGCAACCAAAATGACTATATTTGATTTTTCGATTAAGAATTTGATACATTTGAACAAATAATATTTTATACAGACATTAGTAAAAGCATTTACTTTTAGATATACAGCATGCTAATAGTGAGAAGATACTCAAATGGTCAGAAAAAAAACAAAATACTTTCGTCTGATCGCGTACAACTGTTCGTAACCCTAGTTTACAAAGGCGTCGTCTGTGGGACGACACTAGTCGAAAGCTTACCCCACCCCTTTCTCTCACTTCCCGTTTCTCAAACTCTGTGTAGCTTCATTGCGTGACCAGCCTGTGAAATACTTACGTCAGTGATATTTTTAGTGTTTTATTCGCTAATATAGTAAATAATAAATACAAAATCGTCTTGTAGCATTTAAGTTTTGCCCTAAACATTTAGCAATCATAATGGGACGATGGAATCATAACAAACGCTTTTCAGAAGCCCTCTGTGCACTGAAACAAGCAAGTGCCAGCTGAGAGAGTCAAGTCATTGAAGTGTATATATAAATCCCTTTAGAACGTATTTTATAACTACTTCATACATTAAATTGAGGGTTTCATTGTAATAATAAGTTTTCCATTTTTTTTACCCAAAATAGTCTGCCATACTACGCCTTTGAAATAACGCTTGGTAGAGGGCGCCTTTGTAATCTAGGGCTAATGTAACATGGTACCCAATTAGTGATATTTGCTAATTGCTGACACTAAACTGAAATGAAAGTCAGTAATTCTGACTAAAAAAATATTGCATTACACATGTTGTATGAGTGGTTTTATTTTTCTCGTAGGATTGCGTTACTCAGCCTGTCGGCCTCGTGTCGCAACATGTTTCTCTCAAAATAAAATGTAATTTTTACTACTCTTATCATAAATAACTATCTTAGACAACCATAGCATGTTTGGTTCTTTTTGGATATTGAAATGCTATTTTTAGTGTTCAAATTACCTGTGACTGCAACAGAAGAAAACAAAATACCTTCGTCTTACTGCTTCATAAAATTACAATAGGTTGCTCTGGCTTTTGGCCGAGGTATTGTCTATTGTTTAAGTTAAGCGGTACATGTTGAAAGAGAAAGATGTATTTATTCAATATTTTTTAGTATGTTGTCCTTTATTTGCTATTAATATCGTTTTTACATATTTTTTATGGATATGGACTGTACTTCATACTTTTAAATTAAGTTTAACAAAATTAGAAAAACCAGGATTTTGCAACTACTGCTATAAATATGACTCATTATCGGATTCCTGCCTATTCGCAGAATTTTATAGAATGATCATGAAGTAAATACTATAAATACCATCAACAAATTTGAATTAAAGTGTTATATTATGGGATTTGTAACTTATCTCTATTTTTCATTCCTTTTTAAATAAATTTTCTTATTTACCGGTTCGAACATTCATTTAAAAAACATGTTGAACATGAAAAAATAATTAAACATGGGCTTATAATTACTCACATACCTTCTGTAACATTATCCATTTTAAAATTTGAATGATTACTTTCACAGAACTAAAATATTTGGCTTCGACTCCGCACTAAAATTTCCGTCGGGCTTGGGAGACGCCGTAAACACAATAGAGCCTTTTGTTAAACCTCAAATACAGCTTTCACTTGTAAGTTCCGATCGTTCTTACATGCGGGATTTAAGAGTCCCAACAATAGTGTAGCCAACCTAAGAGTTAAAAGTTATCAACTAGGTACTTTTTTTGAAATTTTGGCCAGGATTTAGGCATTTTATCCCAATGTAGGGCGTCTTGGTGTTATAACCTTGAGTGGTGTTTTGGTGATTGGAGTTAGGGTAGCTTATTTCTTAGTTTTTGTATCTTTATTTTCTTAATATTTCTTCGTCTAGTTTTTCGAATGTATATTATTACGATTTAGTATGAAAATATCTAGTTTTTCAAATATTGCTAATATCTCGCTATTATTATTATTATTATTATTATTATTATTATTATTATTATTATTATTATTATTATAGCAGACACCAGAACCTTTAGAAAACCAATGTGCCTGCTTGGCAACTCTGGCGGTCAGGACTCAACGTGATGTTATATGTATCAATAAAAACTTCCTCACGATGCATGCAGTACTCAGTAGAACAGCCTTTTGCATTGACGGAATGTGCGAGTTCTTAAGGCCAAGCCCTGCAGATGATGAAATCAGTTTTTCAGAGATCTGTCCATTTGCAGAGATAACCATAGGGACTACTTTAACAGATAGTAACCGCCCCGTGTCGCTCAGTTCAATAGCCTAGGCCTGGTATTTTCGCTTTTTCTCGACAATGGAGGCAACTATACTTCGGACTAAAGGGCTAGCTATCTCGTCTATAATCCTTTTCCGTGAGAGCTTATCAATCCATATTTTGTCAGGTCTATTGGCTTCGACCCTGCGATCAATGGTAACTGCTACATTTCACAAGAGTTTCCATCTTTTTCGACTCCAAAACTGATCCGGTTTGAATTTGTAGTATGGGATCTCTTTCTGTACAATCGTCTGAGGTTATTTCGTCCTGAATAGAAATGACGAACCCTTCTGTCTCAGCAAAGAGCCAGATTTTGTTAGGCAGGTTGACGATCCCATATTCACAGCATTCCCTTTGAGCTGAGCAGGGCACCTGGCGTGCAAACGCTTCTGGGTCCACTCACTCAGCCCATCATCTTTGGTGATACGTGGCATTTCAGAGTCCGTTTGATTCAGGTTCAGTGGGTTAAATTCTTGTCTGTGGCACAAATTGCTTCATGCATGACCATCGTTTTCTGAAGGAAGTACTTGCGAAGATTGTTGATTTGCGTCGCGCACAAGGACTCAAAATCCAGAAGACCTCTACCTCCTTCGTTCCGGGGTAAGTATAATCTTGCCATTGAACTTTTGGGATGATGCATACAATACTTGGTAAGAGTGGCCCTAACATTTCGATTAAGCTCCTGCAGTGCAGTTGTTGCTCAGTGAAGAACGCCAAATGTATAGACAGCGTCAGGTACTGCTCAAGTGTTGATAGCAGATATGAGGTTCTTTCCATTTAAAAGAGTTTTAAAGATTTTTGACACTCTTTAGAATACTTTATTTTTAATATAACACCTTATCTTTGCTTCACTAGTGATCAAAAGTTGTTGCAGGCCTACATATTTATAGGTATCATCTTGCCCAAGTTCTTGGATATTTGTGCCACACATCAGGATGATTGTCAGGATCAAGAATTTTTTTCCCTTTTCACGTACATTGCAGCGCATTTATCAATGCCATCTCATTACAAATAGAGTTGCTGAACAACATTACAAGTTCAAGCAAAGAAGAAATTTGGTTCTTATCTCTGGCGTACAACTTGGGATCGTCGATGTAGAACTGATGATTAATGAGGATAGGGGGATTTTTGGTGATTACATATCCCATCCCTGAATCTCTTAACATTCTGCTGAGAGAGTTTAGAGACTCTCAACTGATTGCCTATAATCTGAAGATACTTACAATTCAGAAAGAAATAGTTTATGAAATTGATCTATTACTTGTATTTATTTCTTATATTTATTTTTTAGTTTCGTAATTAGTATGCGAATTATTTGTTGCTAATCAGCTTCAATTCTTCCAAATAGATGTGATAATGATTTTGTCAAGCATGAACTTATGACAAAATTTCGATCGTCATAATTAGAAAACCAATCCATTTTCTCCCATCTTCGCCCTAGAGGATAATATTCTGAATCGTCACTGGAATCATCTTTAAAAACCAACATTCGCAATCATCGAGCCATAACAACACGTAGAACGTATATGCACATTCAAAACTGAACTTACTCCCTACTTTACACGACGGACTTTCCCCATGTAAAGGTACTCTCAAATTTAGTCCCATATAAGCGATTTCTCTCGTGTAAGTGAAACGCTCTGAGAATTAACTCTCAAATAAACACTATTTACTGCAGAGTAAATTCTTACTCCTTGTTT